CCCCCACTACCCCCCCGCCCCCCCCCCCCTCCCCGCCCGCGGGTAACTCGTCACGACGACATCGTCCAGGCCTCGGACAGCCAAAAGTGCAGGCACAGCGTTGATTTCCCACTCGTCTCGTTTTCTTTTTCTTTATGCATCACGATTTCTTTCGTTTTTAGATTGCTCTTTTGGTGAGGAGAGAATATTTTTGGCAATGAGGAGAAAATTAGTATTAGTAGATGAACAAAATCAATTTTATTCGTGGATTTCTCTTGTTTAATGAGATTTTCGAATGTAATTCACTCGTTTTTGACTTTTTTTTAAATGTTAATGGTTTATTGAATTTTTTGTAGAGAGCTGTTCGGTTTTCATTAAAATATCGGTAACTTGACGGGTTTTGAAGATTTTTTTCCGAAAACTGAGAATTGATTCTTGAGTTGTGATTGCTCTCATTTCACGATTGAAAGTGTCCACTTTCCTGAGATTTTTGCGGAATAATTTGCTCTATTTCTTGTTATTTTTATATTTTTGAGATGATAGGTGATTTTTTATTTCATCAATTTCCTACTTGTCTCGCTTTCTTCTTCTTTATGCATCACGATTTCTTTCCTTTTTAGATTGCTCTTTTGGTAAGGAGAGAATATTTTTGGCAATGAGGAGAAAATTAATGTTGCTAGATGAACAAAATTAATTTTATTCATGGATTTCTCTTGTTTAATGAGGAGATTCTCCAGTGTAATTCACTCTGTTTTTTTACTTTTTTTTAAATGTTAATGGTTTATTAATTTTTTTATGAAAATGGGAATTTTTTAATGGCATGTATTATTTTTCATCTTTGTAATGAGCCTTGATTGGTCTATTTTGCCCCACTTTTCCTGATATCTCGGAGTTGAAGAGTAATAGCGAATTTTTTGTGCAGAGCTTTTCGGTTTTCATGAAAATTTCGGTAACTTGACGCGTTTTGAAGATTTTCTCACAAAACTGAGAATTGATTCTTGAGTTAAGGTGATTGCTCTCATTTCACGATTGAAAGTGTCCATTTTCCTGCGATTTTTCCTGAATAATTTGTGCTCTTTCTTGTTATTTTTATATTTTTGAGATGACAGGTGATTTTTTATTGTATCGATTGTCGACTTGCCTCTCCAATTCAATGGACAAAATTAAATTGCTTATTCACGTGTTTTTCGTTTGTGAGTCAATTTCTCGGAAATGAAGGGTGATAGGGATTTTCTTCGTCGAGAACTCATTTATAGCTCTCATTTTGCTCCACGAAAAATTTTCTTACAAAAAATGTCGCCATCATCATGAGATTTAAAGATATTTAATAAAAACCAACACCTGATTTTCAAACTGAATTCACTTCTAAAATCGTCAATAATTTTCCCACCATTCCTCAAACTAATTCCGTCTCCTTCCTCTTATATTCACATTTCTGTGATAAAATCTATAGACAACTGGGGTAAACTAGACACTTTCGACATTCAGAAATATCTGTTTCTGAAATAATATAATACATTTTCTCATGGAAAGTACAATTCTCCCTCTTCATAATAACACTAGACCAAGCTCACTTGATACCTGTATTTAATCTACAAACATCCAACAAAAACAAGTCAAAAGTCTTAAATTTTTCCCTACCCTCTCCATGTTTAGCAATTATCAGAGAAGTTTTCAAAATATCTAATAAAAACCAACCCCTGATTTTCAATTTAAATTTAAATTCACCTCTTTCATTTAAATTCACCATTTTCAACCCAATTCTTTCTTCTTCCTCTCATTTTCACATTTCTGTTTTAAATCTATAGACAACTGAAGTAAACAAGACACCTTGGACCTTGCGAAATATCTGTCTCTGAAATAATCCACTTAATTTCCTCCCAGAAAGTACAGTTCAGTAGCAAATTGGTAAAGCGGTTTAAGTCGCCTCATCTCCCAGTTGACTTTTCGAGGAATATTTCCGAATCTAACCGAGATACCGAAATTTTCGTAATTACATTTGTTGTAGCACTCAGTCGGCTCTACAAAAAAGGCTATAACAAAAATTTTGCTACCTCCCTTAGATTCCGAGATATTCCTTGAAACCTGGTCGTCAAAATTGACTTGTACCGTTTTACCACTTCGCTACTGAATTCTTCCCTTCACAACCCTACACCCAACTCCCTCGACAAATGTGTTTGATCCACAACCCTCCCAAAAAAAAACAAGTCCCCATTCTGCCCCACCCCCATAACCATAAATAATCGACTTACCTCTCCCGATGAAGCAAACAAATTCTCTCCTTCGGGACTTTGAGCCTCTTGGATATAATTTTCTTGAGATTCTCAATGGTCTCATTCCTCTCCACCGTGATATCGAACAATCCCCCGGTCGTTGGTGTTATGCTTAACGTTATTTGGTCATTATCAATAATGGGTATACCAACAGGCACACAGCCACACCCCGGTGGTGATGCTGGTGATATTGGTGTTGTGACAACTCCACCAGTCGGATAATGCACATTTTTATCATTAATATCAATTGTTTTAATTGTCGGTAATTTTTCACTGCCACTTGAACCAGCCGTGCAGTAACTCGTGTCATTGAATGATGTCACAGACATTGGGGCTGATACTTTGGTTGTTTCTGTATCGCGATCGTTTGTCGCTGCATTATTTTGGCTTGTGCAGTGGGTATTGTTATCACTTTTATTGCCACTCGCATTATCCATTGCCGTTACGTCCGACGATGGCTGTTTTGAGCTACCGTCCATTGTTGTTGATAATGCGAACGCTTCACGACTCTCACCTTTGCACGCGCTCTCCTGTCCTCCCCCCCCTTCCCTGCCCCTCCGCGCACTGTCGTCAGGTACGTAACCACTTTTATCGGCGATTGTTGGGACTAAACAGTCCCGAATTTATTGTCCTATGCACTGATCACTCGGTTGTTGAGGGTATCACGGGGTTTTGGGGGGCAATTAAAACACTTGCGTCAGCATTTTTGGGGTCTTCGAGGGGAGATCATTGGTTACACGCGCGGGGAGTCGGGGTTTGGGGATTAGACGGGGGTCTGCAGGTTTTTCGGGGGAGATGGAGGAGGTTGCGGGTTTATGGGTGATTGTAACGCTAATATGCCGCCCACTTTAACCTTTTTTCATCACCCATTCGCCCGTCAACTCCGGGAAAACCCTTGCACGACTGGTCTCTGCCCTGCCACTGGTGATTACTCGGTTTACGGAGGCACTGTTAGAGCTACGGAAATACACGACGGCCCGGAGAGCGCGACGAAAGTGGACGAGTGTGTCGCCAATCGGGGGCGGGAGTTGACTTGCTCTGGCGGGGTAGTGGGGGGAGAGGGAAATTTTGAATTTTTTTATTTATTTTTGGAGTTTTTTGGAGTGAGCACCCAGGAATCAGGATTGAATGGTCTCTTCTTTATTCGGGGGCGAGGGGGAAATGGGGAGTTTAGAGTTTTTTGTCAAAGGTTCAAACTTTATTCAGTTGAAATTCAGATGAAATGGGATTTTTTATGGAAAGGAGAGTTCTTTCTCTTTGTAATGGGCACAGATTGATTAATCTATTCCTCAATTATGAAGATTTTAAAAAATGATCAAATAGGGTAAATTTATTTGAATCAGATTAATCACACAAAAAAAAAATCATAGAAAAACAGAACGAATTCTTTATTTTTTTCTTTTTTCATCGAATGAAAAAAGAAAAAAATAAAGGGATTGAATTTTCAATCAATTGAAAATTCAAGATTATATTTACGTGAATTTTCCGAATTTCTAGTAATTCTATTGCATTTCTGTTGAATTTTATATCAGTTTTTGGCAGATTCTATTGAAAAATTCCATAGCTTGTCTGTGCGCTTTTTTCTCAAAAAAATGTTCAATAGAGAATATTTCAAACAGTTAATAGAATTCCAGTGGTCTATACAACTTCTTCTATTGATTCCATCTCAGATTTTCCAAGTTTTTCTGTTTGATTTTTTTAATGAAAAAAGAAAAAAATTAAGGGATTGAATTTTCAATCAATTGAAAATTCAAGATTATATTTACGTTAATTTTCCGAATTTCTAGTAATTCTCATTAAATAATTGAACTGAAATTTACAGTTTCCATTGATTCCTAAAACAATTCATAAATTTTCAAAGACGAAATCCCTTGAAATTCCAGTAAAACTCTCACTTCCCAAAATTTTCCAAAAAGCTCGAATTTCTTTTGAACGTTGAAAATCAAACAAAATGCGTTGAATTTTACTCTACAACAATCAAAAATGGTTTATTCTGCTCTATTCTTTTTTTATATCACCCTACCATTGCGTCGTAGATCAATTTCCTAAAATTTCCATGAAGATTCTCTAAAGGAAAACAGGTACATTGTAGCAGACAAAAAAACTGTATCATTTCAACTTATTTTTTGGTATAATTTCTTTATTTCTTATTGTCCAGCAATCTGATATAACCTTAATATTCCCATAGACTTTCTCACCCAGTTTATAAACTAAATTACAATAATTATCACGTGCTTGTTCAGTCCCTCAGACCATTCGGCAATTTGTCACAAGAAATACAATAACTTTTATTATATTAATCCATAATGATAATTTTTGTCTTCGTAATTTGTGGCACTTTCATTAATTGATTCAATACGTTCTAAAAAAACACATAGAAATGCTAGTTTATACCGATCTATTATTTGTATATTTCAATCGTCTATCCTATCCTTACGGCTTCACTCGAAATGGAAATGAATGCGACAATCCATTCGTCCCAAAATCATTATGTAAAAACTATTGGAGGAAACATTTTATTGGTATTATGTAGAAACTTTTAATTTACAATACTTGGATTTTAGTTTAATTGTTGCTCCGAATGTTCGACCGATTTGTTGTCTATCAATCCTAGATAATGTGCGAATTTCATGAATTTTATTATAGTTTAGAATGAGGAGAAAGGTGAGAAGGAGAATAAAAAAATTTGATTGTAGAAATTTGTCAATGTCTAGATTTTCATGTCTCACCGCGACAATTCGTGCTGATTTCATCGGGGAATTTTTCGATTGTGTGGAGTCACAGAATCAACTGATGCATCAATTTGGTGGAACAAAAGATATTCTAGTTTTTTGTGCTCGTGTGGCGATGATTGAATGAAAATGAATAAAAAATGATGCAGTGCAGTCATGCAGAAGTCCTTGTTGCATTTACCAAAATATGTCTGGCTTCTGGACTTCGAGATAGTTTTCAAAAGATTATCTTCAAGTGAAACTGAGTTTATTATGCTGATTCACGTCTTCGGAAATGGAAAATGATCAATCGATAGAAAAAAAAAATGGTAGATTATAAAATTGATAGAAGTCTCAAATGAAGAATTTCAAAATGACTTGTGATTCAATCAATTATTGGGGGGGAGTCTATTCATATGGATGATAATTCAGAAATGTTCGAAGTAAAGAATTCAAAATTCCCGCGTTTCTAGACATCATCATGAAGATTAATTCAATACTTTTTAATATATTCGATGTTAGAAACAAAATTTCGTCCAATAAATTGATGAATACCTCGATGAAAGGATTCTGGACTGATGCTACTACAAAAATTCTCACAAAAATCATGTAATTCAAGGCAAATATTCCCTTATTACATTTTCTATTTGGAAAATAAGCAATGGGATAGGGAAATCTGAGGAATAAACTTGACTTGAATATGAGTTTTCAATAGATATCCCAAACATTTAAAAAACTGGCAAAATTTTGATAAAAACTCCTATCGTGATTTAAACTCTTTCCAAAAGATGTTTTTACAGAAATTTTTCGTGTCCTCTGAACTTCAAGATATTTTTTTTTATTCTCTTCAAGTGAAATTGAGCTCATTATGCTCATTCACTTCTTCATAACTGAAAAAATGATCAATCGACAGCGAAAAAAATAGCAGATTATAAAATGGATAGAATTCTCGAAATAAAATTTTCAAAATGTCTTCTGATTCGATCAATTGTTATGCGTGATTCCATTCACATGTATGATAACTCAAAAATATTCGAAATGAAGAATTAAAAATCCCCGTGTTTCTAGACATCATCATGAAGATTAATTCAATACTTTTTAATATATTCGATGTTAAAAACAAAATTTCGTCCAATAAATTGATGAATTCTTCGCTGAAAGGATGTTAAAAAGTTTCTGGACTGAAGCTGTTGGAAAAATTCTCGCAAAAATCATGAAATTCTCCGCAAGATTTCCCCTCACTCCACACAATCACCAAATTCCCTTGTTTATTCTCTTGTTCTTACCAATGACTCGGTGGAAAGAGCACAGTGGGTTTCCCGACAATTTCATGACTATTTTCTACTCGATTGGACCTACTTTGTATTTTCTCATTCTGAATTTCAACCGCACCTGTACACATTTGCTACTAGCCATCGGGCACGAGGGACACGATAATTCATGATCCAAATTCTTCGGTGTCTGGCTTGATTGGTTCGAAATCGTAGGATCCCCTGCCATCCATCAACAGATAGTACTGAAACAATAATTGAGAATGCAAGGTGTCATCGCAGTATCAGTAAAACGACCACATTCCCCACGAAATACCGCAAAATTAATGAATTCAATGATTCTTAATGATATTTATGGAGTAATTGAACAAAAATTCACAACTTTCGTTAATTTTTTCGTTAAATTCTGAATTTTCAAGGGCAAAATTCCTCAAATTTTCAGTGCAACTGCCACTCAATAAAAATTTCCAAGAAGTACAGCAGAAATATCATCAAAATCTTTCAACAGTGTGACTTGCTATTCTCAAATTCATATTACCTCGTGATGTTTCCATAATGATCGTCTGTGGGAGACCGTGAAGAGTGTGATATTAGCTTGTCGACAGTAGGAGTACATGGAGTCCTCGACGTCCATACTGACTGCGCTCGTGCACTCGTCGAGAATTGCAAATTGGGGCTTGTGGTAGAATAATCTTGCCATCTGCACGGCATCATTAAAGAGCAAGAATTAGTATTCTGTCTTGAAAGTTTGCATTAGTATGTTTGATTATAAATAATCGAGCATAAAGGAAGAATGCAAACCAAAAATGTTCATAAGAATTCTATTGAATTTTTTCATGCATGTCGAAATGAGGTTGACTTGTCGTTTCAACCTTTGGCCACTGATATTTCCAAAAATATTAATTAATTCTTTGCAACTCACAGCTATTCGTTGTTTCTCGCCTCCAGACAGAACGTCCATCCAATCAGCAACCGTATCCCATCCATCCTCGCGTTCCAACAGATGTCCGAGCTGAACGAGGTCCAGGTATTTCTGGAGATCTTCGTCCTTCGCGTTTCCACGTCTCAGCATCTCTGCTTGGGTGTGGGGGTAGATCACCTGGTCTCGGAGGGTTCCTAACGTCATGTAGGGTCTTTGTGGAATGTAGAAGAGTTTACCACTGGGGGGCTTGGTGACTGTACCACCCCACACCGGCCAGAGCTGTTCAAATTGAAATTAACGATCAGTTGATTTTTTTGGAGATTCCGTTATTTATTATGGAATTATCTCCATTGACAACTACTTCATTTCAGGCTTGTGTTGAGGTGTGACGGAATAAGTCTCTGAGGTGATGATGTTAAGAAAAATTTTGTATTTTAAATTTTTTTAAATAAGGCCGGGCTCCATTATCTGCCGAGCGTTATCTAGAATGCCTTTTGTTCAATTTTTATCTCGAAATTCCAACTCGATGCCCCATCACAAATTATGAATTTAGTTTGAAAAAAAAAGGAAATTGATTCTGATGAAGAGATTGAATAGCCGAAATGATAAACTACGAGCAGTCCCAGAGAAATTTAACCTTTTGTATAAATCTTTTTCATTAAAAGGTTCAATATTTTCCTGTAGACCCCGATAGCATGTGGTTACGGTTGTATGCCTGTCACAAGGATAGGGAATTGCTACGGATCCCTTCGAAAGTTTACTATAGTCGGGCCAAAATTTCTTTTCCCTTTCGAAAAAATGGCTTTCCTTTGTTTTCATTGACAAATCAACAATTTGACAGTAGGAGCCATGGAAACTCGTTATCTGAAACTAAGTTCACGCGAGAAAAGGAGTTTTGGTTGGACTATACCAATGGAATTGGTAGAAATAAAAAAAAGGAGACTTGTTTGAGAACTCTGTTGTTTCTCGCTCAGTGTAAGTAATCTCGACTCACCTCGCCCAGAATACGGAATAACGAGCTCTTTCCACACCCATTTGGCCCACAGACCAACACATTTATCCCCGACTTGACTTCAAAGCTCAAATCTTTGATGAGAACGTCCCCATTGGGCGTTATCAGTGGCACATGTTCAAATCTGATGATATTATCCTTGGCGACTATTCTCCCAGAGCCGGGTTTACCAACAGAATCATTCTTCCCGTCAGCCACCATTGTCCTTTGGTATTTTCCCTCATTGAGGTCCTGTAGAACACTCCTTATTTCTGTGACACGCGCTGTGAAACCAGCCAGTCGTGTCATTTCTCGTCCAGCAAGCACGAGACGACCAATGGCTTCAGCCAATTTCACCAGCATTCTGCCATTCTCGTAGTAGTGCTTGAAACGATGTTGGGAAGTGCCTGTGAGCATTGGGTGATCCTTTCGGAAGAATGGAATGCTTACGGAGTAAAATCCAACAACAGTTGCTACGTCTGGAAACCAAAATTGGTGAAGGTAATAGGGGTGAATTGAAACAGCGGGGCAAAATCACTTATGAATAAAAAAAAATCAATAGAAACCCTTAGCGAATTCGCTAGAAAATTGTATTGGAATTCTCCGGAAATTCTATGGGGATTCTATTAAAATTCTAGAGAATTCTCGTTAAAATTCTATTTTTTTGCGCAAATTCTATTAAATATTTGATAGGAAAAAGTCAATAGATTTCGATTTTTCTGTTTGAATTTTTGTCTTGAGATTTTTTTCTATTAAAACTATTGGCCACAGAATTTTTATGGATTTTATATTTTATTTTAAAAAATTTCCGCTATATTTCCGCGATTAATTGTCCATTTTACTGAATGGAAAATCATTATTCTCATCAGTACTTGCAGTAATAAAAAAATGAATAAAAAAATTTTGTTTTGCTTTAATTGCGTTAAACAGTCGTGTTTTAACTGTTTCATTTTGCCCCACTTTCCCTCCGTCTAATTCCAACGAGATGAACTCATCTCATTAACGAGAACATTTAACAATTCTCACATTTTCCAATGAAATTGTCAACGACACCCATCGCCACTTTGAATTCCAAGAGCCCACGCAGGTGCTTAATCTGAAAAAAAAAAAAGTAACAAATGAGATTATAATGCTTCATTATTAATGGAAAATTCATTAATACTGATGTTAATGCTCACTAATTTATGGAAGCTAGCGAAAAGCGTCAATTTCTCCCGATTATTCCCTCGGTAGAACGCTATCTCCTCTGAATTCGTTATCAATCGTGAATTAATGTGACGGTATTCGCCCTCCAGTCTCTGCTCCTTCGCCGTCATGGAGCCGATGGGCCTTCGCAGGTGTGTGAGGAAGGTACCTGCTACTACTAGGTATCCCAGCATCATTGTAGGTGTCTAAAAGATTTAGAAGCAACAAAATCCGTTAATTCAAGCTCTCAGCTGAGTTTTCGAGGAATATCTCCGAATCTAAGGGAGATAGCGAAATTTTGGTAATGACCTTTTTTTTAGCTCTCAATTCGCTCTACAAGAAAGGTTATAACAAGAATTTTGCTACCTGCCTTAGATTCCGAGATATTCAGTGAAAACTGAGGAATAGTTGAAAATGACTTGAATCATTTTACCGTTAAAAAAAAAAATTTCCTTCTCTCAACCCACAAGACTAAATTATTCTCATAAACGTTTTTACCTGTCCACCCAAAGAAGACGTCAATCTGTAGACATAAATTCCAATATCGAGAATTGGTTTGGCAATATTACTGTAGAGATCAGTACAGCTGTCGCAGAATTTATCAATATCAGTAGTCAGCAGCTGATCTGGATTCGCAATACGTGTGTCCAAATTCGTCATTTTGTAGTAGGTGAATCCCCTGAGGAGTAAATCACAACCAATTACTTGAATGCATAAAACATTTAAGGCCTGTCGTCCTGACCCATCACATAATTTAACAATTCAGGTGGCGAAGAAGTTCTATCACTGAAATTTCTTACTTGAGATACTGCTCTAGTAGATATCGAGTTATATTCGTTCTCATCCTCAGCTTCATCTCCCCAATTCCGTATTTAAGTAAATTATTCACGACTGATATCTACGTATAAATTGAGAGATGAATGAACATTCATTAGAGATAATCCCAAGTGCTTATCTGTCAATTATCATTTAAAATGATTGACTGTTCTGACTTACTACTGGTAGTGCCGCTAAAAATGTTAACAATAGTTTTTTGAAGCCCTTCCCGTCCATATTGACAATTGCACTAGAAAACAAATTAATACAATTTTTAATTTAAAGAGCACACACGACAAAGAGTCATGAAAATATCTAGAAAATTCGATAGAAAATCACTTTTCATCACAAAAAATTTATTTAGTTTTTTGCAATAGAAAAAAAAGAACACCATTTTTACTTTAAAGAGCACACACGAAAAAGAGTCATAGGAGTATCTAGCAAATGCAAGAGAAAATCACTTTTCATCACAAAAAATTTTTTTTCATCAAAAAAATTAAATTCTATTGATTTTTTCTGCAGAATATTTCGAAAATTTTCAAATCGATTTTTCAATTTCTTTTGAATCATCTTCCAGTTCTACGATATTTTGTAAAAATTGAACTCCACAAAATTGACTTTTATCTACTTCTAGCACTAGTTCAACTAAACTTATCATCGATCCTTCGAATCGAAGAAGAATCGACCAATTTTCATGAAAATCTTTCTTGTACAAAAAGCAGTTAAAACATTCCCCAGTTCCCTTTGAAAAGGAGAAAAATCAAGTGACAAAAACAAGGAAAAAACCGAAGAAATTATACTAATGAATGTAACCAATGATTTAATTAAAATTGAGGAAGAATAAAGACCCCAAAATTGTTGAAAAAATCGAGCATTGTAAAAAAAATGTACAGAATTCTGTAAAATTTACGTCTTTCTCTAACGAGAAAATCAAACATACGAAGCGATATAAACCAAATTCCAAATGTGAAATACGTAAGCGACGTAAAACGACGTGGATTATGTAAACGATCAATTAATCATGCACGAAAAAAATTAACAGAAAACCCAGCGAATTCGCAATACAATTCTATTGGATTTCTATTGAACTTTCTATTAGTTTCTGGCCGATTATAGGGGAGGGTGGGGTAAAATGGACACTTTAGACTTTTTTTTTATTATTCATAACGCAGAAACAAATTGATCAATTGAGGTCAGTTCAGGCTCGGCACGAAGGGAAAGAATTGTTCTTTGTATTGAGAAAAAGAATTTATTATATTTTATTTTATTTAACATTTCAACCCCTCATTAGCATTTTAGAAAAAGTCAAAAGTGTCCGTTTTACCCCAACCTCCCCTATTGAAATATTTTCTACAGAATTTTTTATAGCAATATTACCCTTCAATAAGCGTAGTAGTCCTAATCATCCACAAATCACAGAGTGATCTCCCGATCAGTGACCCCGCGATGAGCAGCACAAATCCTGCCTCTGGGGACAGTGCACCAGGTACTCCAATAACCAACAGTCGATAGAGCTGGCGGAAGAAGGCTGCATCGACGTGAGCCTTCGGGCCCTTTGGTTTTCCTTGCTAAAATCGTAAAACCAAGGTCAGTAAATTTTTCCTCCCCAAGCATTCAAAAAAAAAACCCTTCGTAAAATATTCACCTCATTAATGACGTACTGCACATCATTCGCTGGCCACAAAACCCTGTAAAACCAAACCAATGGTAATGTATCAAATTTATTTGATTAATTAATTCATTGATTAGAAAATTTATTTTATTTATCAATTTATTTTCCAGAAAATTGCTGTTAAAATTTCAGGTGAAAAATTTCGAAATTTTTAATTTCCCAAGTTTTCACGAAGTTTCTATATACTTTTATTGCCAAATCAGTCGAGTTCTTGAATATTCAATGCAATTTCAGTTTTTAGGTCCATGTGACAACGAAGAAGATTAAGAATGGAAAGAATTCAGGGCCCTAATTTTTAAATTCTTGATCTACTGCAAATTCAAGCTTTTATTGAAATATTAATAATTGTTGCACATGGAAAGCTCAATATTATTGAACTCTCAAGGGGAATAAGGAAGATTATGAACAATTTGATGTTAAATTGAATTCAAATTTACAGGATTCAAAATTGAAATGCGATCATGTAAAACGTTTTGTCTCGACAGAAATTTTTCTAGAGACTATTTTTGAAGACGAACCTGATAATCATAAGGATCTTTATGACTCTCCAATTTTTATTGAGTTATACTTGTTAAATTGCGCACAATAAATTAACCATTCACAAGATTGAAGTGTACAATATGAAATTCGAATTACACAATATGTAATTTCACAATTTACCAGAATTCATTATGAATATCGTGTCAATGAAATGTGGGGATTACAATACCTGCAGACATGGTTAACATGCAAAACATCACATGTATCTAATAAATCATTTTTCCAAGAAAACGCTGCGTTGGTGTTAAACAAAAAATCCAATTTTTCTAGAGACTATTTTCGAAAACAAACCTGATAATCATAAGGATTTTTATGACTCTGCAGTTTTTCTTGAATTCCACATGTCGAATTGCGCATAATAAATTAACCATTCACAAGACTGAATTCTACAATACGAAATTCGAAGTACACAATGTGTAATTGGAATGGTCCATCACAATTTACCAGAATTCATCACGAATATCCTCTAAATGTGGGGATTACAATCCCTGCAATAGGGTAACAATACAAAACATCAAACGTATCTAATAAATCATTTTTCCAAGAAAATGCTGCGTTGGTGTTAAACAAAAAATCCAATTTTTCTAGAGACTATTTTCGAAAACAAACCTGATAATCATAAGGATTTTTATGACTCTGCAGTTTTTCTTGAATTCCACATGTCGAATTGCGCATAATAAATTAACCATTCACAAGATTGAATTCTACAACACGAAATTCGAAGTACACAATGTGTAATTGGAATGGTCCATCACAATTTACCAAAATTCATCACGAATATCCTCTAAATGTGGGGATTACAATCCCAGCAGACAGGGTAACAATACAAAACATCCAAACTATCAACAACCGAAGGGACTCCATTGTGTGCAATAATCAATCTCCCTAAGAAAACGCTATGCTGGTGTCGAAGTTAACCAATTCAACAAACTCCACTTGGCCTCACTTCCCTCCCGCCCGCCTCTCGCCCTATTTCTTCAAAAAATAATAATCACCTCGCTTTGGTAGTCCTTTTATTCCGTTTCCTCTTCAGCAGCCAGATCAGTGCACTCAATGCAAATGCTCCAGCCGCAGTTTTCCTCGTTACGTATTTACTCAAAACAGGTGCCATGACTCCACAACAACGATTTACTCAATAAATACAACACATTAATAAAAAAGTTATTAATTTTAATTTTGTTACTATGCACAAGTAGGTACACTACACTTTCCCACGTTATCCAGTGACAACGCGTGTTATCTTCACTGTTGTGCTACAAACAGCTACAAAGGTGTAGCACCGTCCGACTACCACTACTGCACGAGTCAAATGTCGGTGGAATACTGGGGGTGGGGTGCAGTGGACTTTTCGTCCTTTTTTTGCGTTGTGGAGGGAGTTAACTGTCTCATTTCCGCGTTGGTGTCACTGTCCCACCACGTGTCATGGCATCGCAGATAATCAGCTGGTTAGAGAGATGAGCACGGAAAAATTTAATAGAAAAACCTATCGAATTCGGTAGAAAATTCTATTGAATTTCTCTCAAACTTTCTATTAGTTTTTGGCCGATTCTATTGAAATATTCAATAGAAAATATTGAGCAGGAAAAGTCAATAGAATTCAATTTTTCTATACAACTTATTCTATTGAGATATTTTCAATAGAATTTCCTCGGCTCAAATTTTCTAAGCTTTTTCGTTTGATTTTCTTGATGAGAAGAAAAGAAAAATAGAATGAAAAAAAAATTAGAAAATTAGAGTCGAGCAAATTCTACAGAAAATATATGAAAAGAATAAGTTATATAGAAAAATCGAATTCTGTTGACTTTTTCTATTGAATGTGTTCTATTAAACAGGTCAATAGAATCAGCCAAAAATTAATAGAAATTCAATAGAATTTTTTAACGAATTTAATAGAAAAACCTATCGAATTCGGTAGAACATTCTATTGAATTTCTCTTAAACTTTCTATTAGTTTTTGGCCGATTCTATTGAAATATTCAATAGAAAATATTGAGCAGGAAAAGTCAATAGAATTCAATTTTTCTATACAACTTATTCTATTGAGA